GGGAGACAAAGGGGTGTGTGTGGGGTGTGTCATTTGGACTTTTGTTGTAGGTTTGTTGTGGGGATTGGATGTATTATTGTGAAGGAAAATATCCCTGGGCATTTTGGTTTATAATTTGAGTGTATTGGGGAACATAATGGGGACCATGCTGGGTGTGTTTTTGGACACTTATTTTCGGCATTGTAAAATAGGAAGAAAGGGAAATTGTGGCTTGGTTTTCTTTGGATTCCTGGGAATGGATTGTGAAGTGCTGGGATTGGTTATTAATGTGGTGATGGGTTGAGGGTAAGTATGGTTAGGGTGCAAGGTTTGATGATGATTTCATTCCAGAGGGGGTCATAACACTTGGACATTATTCCACTGATTTCCTTAAGGACTTGAGGGTGATTTGTGGTGCTCTGGGATATATCACTATTGTTCCGTTTGGTGTATATATACATGTTTTGTTTTGCTTGTAAAGTAAGATACATGAATTCAGCTTTGAGAACAAATGAGATGTAAAGAAGTCATTTTCTTCAGTTTTCTGCTCCTTTGTTTACTGAAAAAATATCAGTTGACAAACTTTACTACAAATTCTACACGAAACATGTCCAAATAAACAACACACATCATTCATTCATACATAAGTGAATAATTGAATGCAGGAAGTTAAGTTTAAGTTCTCACTCGGCAACTTCTTGTTTATCCTTCCCAAACTGGACAGCGACACGCTTTATGTAATTCCAGGCGTAGTTGTGCTCAAAGCAAGTAATGTCGAGCTCCTTCTTGTTGACAAAGTTTGCATCTTTGAAGTACCCTTCCTCATACAAGTGAGTCACAAGCATAGCCATCTCTGGAGATAGTGGCTTCCTGACCGATGGTGCTTTAACAAACGCTTTGTGCAGACTATGAACCTTAGATTGGTTTCCTGAATCATCATCATCATCATCATCGTTCTTAGACACCTCCTCTATTTCTCGATTCTCTTGCAAAACTGGGGATTCTTCTTCCAGATCTGTCAATTCATGCCTCGCGCGATGGCCTTCCTCCGCGGTGCCGACGTCAACCTTGTCCGAATCTGAATCAATTTTGGAGCTGAATAGACTGGGAAATGAAATCGATCTCCGCTGAGTTTCAGGAAGAAGCGAAATGTGGCCGAGACTGGGAGAATCCGGACGGGATCGGAGCCTTTGAACGGCGGAGAACAAACTCCGAGAACGAGTAAAGCTTCTAAGGAAAGCCATTTTTGGAGGGTTTTGAGCTCTCTGAGAAATGCGGATGACGCTTGAAGGGGTTTTGTTGTTGGGGTTTAGGGTTTTGAGCCATTTAAATCATTTTGTACTCTTCAATTTTAACTTTTTATAATCATTTATTCTTATTAAAAATAATTCGAATCAAATCAGATTTTATCTATCCAAATTATACTCCGTATTTGTTTAGTTCAGAAAAAAAAGCTCACATTAGATCATAATTAGTTTTGCTCATATTAGATACTGATTGTGTTTGGAAAATAGCTTTTCGGGTAGCTTTTGGCATCTTTAATTTATCGAACCGCCAAAAACGTTGTTTGGCTAATGGCTTTTTCACTTGGCGTTTTGATCCAAAATGCCAAAATCCGAAAAGCTAAGGAGAGTAGCATTTGAACTTGGCTTTTAGAAAATTTATTTTTTTAATCATTTTTCTTGAAATATATTTTATAATATATGTAAAAAAAATAAAAATAAAAATAAAAAAATAAAAAAAAATAAAAAAAAATAAAATTTCAAAAAAAAGATATGAGAAAATCAAAAATAAAAAATCATTAAAAAGTTATATATTAATAATTTCTTATGAGTTATATGAAAATGAAATTTTATACTCCACATATTAACGATTTAATTTATATATATATATATATATATATATATATATATATATATACACATATATATGTATATATCGAAACAACAATTTTCAAATAGCTAATTTTACCAAATATTTTTAATGATTAGCCAACTCATCATGCCGGTCAACCCAGCTAAATTAAACAGCTATTTAGAACAGCCAATACAAACAGCCAACAGCTGACAGTCAACATTCAAACAAGGCCACTATTTAAACAAGCAAATATGTCCAGATTAGATATCTTCAATTCAGTAAAAAGTTTAAAAAATATTACTCCGTACTATTTTGTCTATGTTAAATAATAGACGGCCAAGTAGTAACAATGCTCTTGTAGTTTAAAAATTTAAGTCATCCACGCACCTTCTTTTATTATTTTCCAGTCATTTTTCTTGTCAAAAATGATATTGGTGTTAATTTTCGAAATCAAAGACGACATATGAACTCATTTCCCATTTCCCATTCCCTATTTGTTTTTCCTCTTTTTTCTCTATTTGTTTCTTTTGTCTATAAAGGTTTTTCCAATTTCTTTTTAAACTTATTTTTAAATTTCAAAATTTTTTATGTTTGAAATAATATAAAAAAATAACATAGACTCCATTTCTCTCAACAACACCATGACCCTACTGTCTATAAGGCTCTGTTCTCTTCAATTTATTTCTAATACTTATTTTTTATTTGAATCTGATCAGATCTGATAAAAAATAGATTTAAATATAAGTACATTTATGTCAAAGCAAATAAATCTGACGAAATCAGATTTTATTCTAATCAGATCAGAATCATTCAAGAAAGGTTAAAAGAACATGGCCTACGGTATTTTACCCATTGCAGGGTAAGAGAGTCTGATGTACGCAATTTGACTCTTATGTTTTAAAAATATTATACTCCATATTGCTTAAATGGTAAGAAAATACGTTTAGGAAATGCATTTTAAACATTTGACACTCGTAGTAATTTTTTTAAATACCAAAATCTTGTAATTAGCATCAACCTTTTCGATAATTTAATATATTTATTATAATATTTAAAAATTGAATACACCCTGCATTTCGTAATAAGACAGTTTTTTGGTCTTACAATGTTTGATTTAAGTATTATTTTCATATTAATATAAATGAATTTTGGTGTGGAACTAAAAAAAATATAAATTTTAAATAAAAAATTACATAAAAATCATACAAAACAAATGCTGATAAAGTTGTTTTATTTGATGAAAATATGTGTAAACTAAAATTCTACTGAATATTACACCCTCTGTCCTAAAATGTACGCAAGACTTTACTATTTAAAAATTACGGGAATTTTTATTTATTTTTTTATTTTCATTAATTATTTGATAAAATAAAATCTTTTAATTGTTACTAATTCTGTAAAACTTTGGACGTATTTTTTTTATTGTAAATTTTATTCTTTACTTGTAGACAATTCTTTAAATAAAATGGATTACAAAAATTTAAAATATTATTCTATTTGTCGTATTGTACTATTGTTACTTACATTTTGGGAGAGAAGAAGTATTATAAAAATATTTAGGAAAATGCTAGGGGTATATCAAAAGTGTACTCCAAACATCCCCCACCCCCTCTATCACCACAAAAAAAGCAAGAAAAATCAAAAAAATAAAATAAAATAAAAATAAAATAAAATGAATGGTAGAAAGGGGAGTGGTGTACATTTGGGTACACATTTAGTGTACCCCTAGCATATCCCAAATATTTAATTTTTAGGAGCGATAGTCATAATTGTACAAGATTAAAATATTTTTCTAAAAATCAAATTTCAAAAAAAAAAAATTGAAAAAAGGAGTAATCTCATTAATGCATCCATCTATCGTCTTCTTCCAATCGAATCTCTTAATTAAAGCCTCTGTCACCCTTTTTCATTCAATCAATCCCCTTTCACATTCACTGATTCACATCTCTCTCCAAAGAAAGAAAGAAAGAAAAAAAATTCAGATCCAATCAAGACCTCCTTAAATCCTGGCAAGGTCTGATTAGTGATCAGCAGCACTTCTTGGAGGACAGCAATGGCTCCACCACTCTCTGCAGGCAGCTGCAGAGGTTTGATTAAGGTACTGTCAGTACTCCTCCTTTTGCTAGCTTTTGCTCAGGCCCATTATTCCCATAGTAGGCCTAGAAGAATGTTGCAGGTTGATGATGAAGATCAAGATCATCATCATCATCCACCCATGAAGAAGATCATGAAGGACAGTAACAGTGACACTAGCAGCAGCAGCAGCACTTCACTCTCCACCAAGAACAAAACCAAGCTCCTCAAGTCAACCATTGCCAAGAACCAAACTTCTAAAGTTCTCAAGTCTGGGTTTGGTATTGTCTCCCCAAAAAACCAGACCAAACTAAAGATTTCTTCTTCTTCTTCTTCTTCTTCTTCTTCTTACCCAGTTTCAATCTCCTCCTCCAAGAACAAGACCAAGCTTTCCAAACCCATTTCAGAATCTGTCATTACAAACAAAGTCTCCTCCTCTAAGAACAAGACCAAGCTTTTGAAACCCAATTCAGAATCTGTTATTACAAACAAAATCTCCTCCTCTAAGAACAAGACCAAGCTTCTGAAACCCATTTCAGAATCTGTCACTATAAACAAAATCTCTTCCTCTAAGAACAAGACCAAGCTTATCAAGCCCATTTCTATGAAACCCTCAAAAAATTCAACGAAAACCAGCACCAAGTCCTCAGATCTACCCAATCCCACCCCGCCGCCGTCCCAAAACCGAACCAAATCTCAGGTAGAAAAAAAGGGTTCATCAAAAACCTCCGAATCCAAATCCGGATCGAGCAAAAACGTGCCAAAACCGTTCTGGATCGACGACGGAGAGGACGACGATTTGATCGCCGAGTTCAGAGACATGCCGTCCAAATTCCAGCAAACGCTGTTGCCAGATCTGGAACGGATCTCGAGAACATCAAAAGTCTACATGAACAAGGCGAACAGAGAAATCACGAACAATTTCAAACCGATCGTCGGCAACAAATACGCGCCCGCCGTGGCGTCGATCATTTCCTTGGCGTTCATTCTCATCCCGTTGATCCTCGTTTCTCTGATCTTCAACCGATTCAAAGCCTACTTCTCCCTGCAGAAGCTCCTGATCTTCGTCCAGATCTACCTCTCCATATACTTCTCGATCCTCTGCCTCTCCTCGCTCGTCACGGGCCTGGAGCCGCTCCGGTTCTTCTACGCCACATCGCAGTCCACCTACATCTGCATACAGCTCCTCCAGACGCTCGCTTACGTCCTGTACCTTCTGCTCTTGCTCATGTACATGGCGCTCGTCTTCTCCACTGAAACCGGGCCGGCCTCCAAGCTCATAGGCCTGGTCCAGACGCTCGTGGGCTTCACGGTTGGGCTGCATTACTACATGGCGGTTTTCCATCGGGCCGTGCTGCGCCAGCCGCCCAAGACGAGCTGGAGGGTCCACGGAATCTACGCCGCTTGTTTTCTGGCCATTTCTCTGTTGACTCAAGCTGAGAGGAGGAAGAAGGCTTATGTGGAAGAGGGTGGAGGTGATGGGAAAAAGAGCTGAAAAAAGAAAGAGAGAAAAAAGAAGTGTAAGTTTAATTTATTGATATATTTACCTTTCCACAAATGTAATTTATTACACAAGTATTTTGTATTGTTAGTATTATTGTTATTCCATACTTGTAAGCATTTGGATACCAATTGTTGGGGAAAAACAAGAATAAAGATTGTGTTGAATGTGTTTGGGAAAAAAATGGTGTCAATTTTGTTTGTTCATTTGGATGGGTAGCATTCATGTCATGGTCCTTGTAAGTAGCGATTTGTCGATTATTGTCGATTGGTCTCTAATCGGTCAAACTGGCATGGCAGTTAGGGTCGGGCTTCAGAAACTCAAAGATCGGAGCTCGCCAAAAACTCGTGTTTTGCCGGGTCAAGATCGAGGCATGACACGATGCTTGAGTCTAATGGCGGTATGTGAAACTGATTAGAAAGTCGAAACTCGTGAGGAGATGTTGATGGATGTAAACCTAATCTTGATCATGTTAAAAGAGTTCACTTTATCCTCATATGAAAATATTAAATTGATAGAGTTCTAGTGCAGTTTCAAAAAGTTACTTGAGGTTAAATTGAAGATGCTCAAACTGAAGATTGTGTAGCTTATGGTTTGGCTTGACAATGTTTTAGCATGAGTGATACCTTTCAAAGATTCGAAGATTGCACATTGGATTGGAGAGATTCAAAGATTGCACGTGATTAGACTTACGTATTGCTTTAAAGTGCCAAAAGCAGGATTTGGTATAATAACCTAACTGCTTAAGTTTATTCTTGACATCACATTCTTCCCGCGTAAATGCATGTGTAAACCTTCATTTAAGGGACCCAAATTCGAACTACTAACACTTGTGCAATCTTTTAGGCCTTGGGCTTCTCACTATTCTCAAAAATAGCAATTAGAGTCTGTATGACCTGTTCATAGATTTTCATTATTTTATTTATTATATTTTGATAAATACTTTAAAGATTATCTTCAGTCCAATAAAAATGATAAGTCTGATCTTATTTGTTTACACACTACCACTCTTTTACTTTGTTTCATCCCGCACTCATTCAGTTTGTTCTCTTTGACTTTTAAATCCATACATTTCATATTTTTATTAGTCATTTTACATCTTAACAAAAAAGACAGTGTGAGAGGCGTGCGATCCAATAATTGAATAACTTGTTTCTCATTCTATTCGTCTCTTCCATCATTTTTATTCATATTCACTCCATTCTCGAATTTAAAGAATCATAATGTTACTTATTAAAATGTTTTAAATGGAGTATCTAAATAGAATGAAATGGGTCGATATTGAGTTAATACTCATTTTGATTGATCTAAATGTATTTGTGAGTTAACTTCGTCCCTATATGTTATTTTGCATCAAATTAAATTGGTCCATGTAGTTAAAATTAAAAGTGTGAATTATACCAATTCTTGTAATAAAATTTATCATATCAGTATTCCTAAAATGTTATTATTACACATTAATTGACAAAATTTGTCATTACAAACCAATGTTAGTTCCATGTTTAAAAATATTATTCATCTCGTTTTGAAATTATCTTTTCAATTAATATTCACAACATTAAATATATTTCATTTGCTTACATATTTGGAAATTGAAGTAAAATTAAAAATAGACTTTGAATATTTAAAAAATATAAAAATTTTGCATAAACAAATACTTTGCAGATACTATTATATCATTCCATAAAGTCTGACATTCTGAATATAGTGTATGAGAAATTTATTTTAAAAAGGAGATAGTTAAATACAAATGAGTCTATCAAACTCACCACCAGGATCCCTAGAGCATGGGCTTCAACAACAAGCCCATAACAAAGGTCTAACTGATGTTTGGTAAAGAGTACCACCAGAAATGGAACCTAAAAATCTTCATCTGGATCGGCTTAAATAAGATTTTCTCGAGTTAGTCATTTTTTTTGAAAACTCGAACTTTGATTTTTCAAATTTTTTTACCGATAAATCCTTCTATAGGGTTTGTATGCGCTATTGAACATTTGATGTTTCAAAGTGTTAAATTGTTATTTTCTCTACATCTTCCATTTTGCTAGCCAAATACTTTAAAGATAGATTGTTAATTTGTTATCCCGGTATGCCTCCACCTATTCCCGACTCCAACATATTCATCTTCCCACATCAATTGCAAGATACTTCCTCCGTCCCAAATTATTTGCCACATTTGCTTTTTCAACAGTCGCGGGAACTTTTGTTTATTTTTACGTTTTCATTGGTTATTTGATAAAATAAAATATTCTTGACACCTCTTATTTCGAAGAACTTTTCATGTAGTTTTTTGATATGTAATTTTTATTTTTTATTTCTTTACCAATATGTAAATAAAATGAATTGAAAAAACTTGATATTTTGCCTCGGTAATAGAAATGTGACAAATAATTTGGGACGGATGGAGTATAAGTTTAGTTGATTTTGAGATCAAAATTTTTGCGCTATCAAATTGACATGAGTAAGGTGATGGTTTGGAGGCTTAGAGTCGAGAGTGAGTTAGGGACTTATTAGACAGTTAAAAGGTATCAAATACGGAGTATCAATTTTACTAGGGGTGTTCATCGGTCTAAAACCGGACCGGACCGGACCGAAAACCGAACTACGCTAAAACCTAGACCGAAGACTGAAATCTTATGGACCGAACCGGTCCAGACCGAAAAGACCGAATCCAGGTCAGGCCGAAATTGAAACTTTCCCCACCGGCGAAACCCTAGGTGTGGAAAATTGGGGGTTTTGCAATCCCGAACCAAATGCTGCAATTGAGGAGTCAGGGTGGGTCGTAAAGATGTCAGGAAGATGTTTGGGTGGGTGCGCGACGTCAAATTTTCCGAAGGTGGACGGAATCTGCAAATAACCCCCAAAAACCACCGTGACGGGTCGCAACTGATTCCCAGCGATTCCGGCGTCCAAATCCCATGCTGCTGGTAGCGATGGGCTCGTATGGACCTCAAGAGGCGTTTGGGATAGGTGGGGAGGCTTTCCGCTGCGCGTGGTGGCCAAAGCAGATTGGGCAGCGGTATGGACGGCGGCTGTTGCGATATGACGTTTCCCGGCAGCTTTTCCGGTGATGTTTGGGTGTAATAGGACCGGCGAGATAAGGAGGAGTTTAGTGGGTGACCGGAGGACACAGCGTGGAAGATGCTGTCCAAGTCTCCAAGAAGGCTTCCTTGAAGAAGATAAGATCTGACAGGAGGAGGATGGGAGGAAATACGGAGTTAATAATATTGTCGGTCATTTCGGTCTGGATCGAATTACAGCCGGGTATGGACCGGACCGGACTGAAACCCGAAATTCTAAAAATTCCGGACCGAAGACCAATCCGCAATTTATTCGGTCCAAGTTCGATCTGGACCTATTAGTCCGATTCGATCGATTTTTTCGGTCTGGACCTAAACATGAACCGCCCTAAATTTTACAGATTAAACACTTACGGAGTATATGTGAAGCCTTCTCTATCCACAAAACCGTACCCATAGTGGGAAATATCGAACCCTGTATAAAACCCCAAACCTCAGAGAGATAGGGCGGGAAATCAAGCAGCCCTGACGGAGGAAAAGCCACACCCGCCCGGCGCCCGCCCTCAATAGCTTCTTGCGTCGACTCGACCCGATTCGTCTCCGGCGGACCCATAAATGGCCGAAATCGAAACCCTAGGAATACTCGACGAGATTCAGTCTCTTGTTTCCGACAAACTTCAAGTGGTAATTCCCCTCTCTCTGTATTTCTCTTCCCTGTCATTTATTCGTAGGTTTAATTAAATCTGTCAAATTTAATCGAAGACTTGGAAGACAATTTCATGAGTAATATTGTGTGTTTGGGTAAACTAGATTTTCACCCGTGCGTTGCACGGGGAAAAAAGTTTATTATACTATATTAATAATGATTAGTTGTAAAGCAGAAGATAATAAGTGTGTTTATTGGTTACTAAGAGCATATTTAGTGGCAAACTTACGGGGAGTTCGTAGTTAAGATACGGATGCTTCACAAAGCAATTCCTTTGAAAACTGAAACAACTACCACATGTGTTCCAAATAAGTTCCATATCGCCTTATTAGGTGAAGCAACTCCAGAAAAACCCGCCACTAAAGATGCTCGAAAACGTCAATACCATACCTTGACATTTTCCTGCATTTTTTTTGTAATTGATTGACAGTTTTGTATATTTAAACATATACTTCGCAAAAGTTAAATTAACGATGAACAAAATATCCAAAGAAGTTATAATGAAATAAAAATAAAAATAACAACCTCAGTACATAAAAAAAACTTCTATGTAACTAACAAAGACCGCAACTCAAGTTTAAGGTTGCAATGTGGTTCAATTTATATACCTACCAAAGATATGAATTTTTAATATAAACAAAGAAAAAAATGTATATCGCTTCTCAATATAGCGAAAATTCATCTTCAAAACTTGATACAAAAATTAAAACGACAATATAGGATTGAATTGTATCCCAACAAAATAAACCCAATATAAATCTAGGAACATTGAAGAACATCATGAGAGATTAAGGTGAAGGAAAACATCTCTTACATCCAATTTCATCTCAAAAGTGTTGTTGACAATAACCTTAGATAAATGCATATAGTTTGTTGTTCAGTAACCACTTGTTCTTTTGTTAGAGTTGCCCATATGCTCAAACTCTATATGAGCATTTCTACCTTGAAAGACTCTTCGGCAGATGAAATTATTGGGAATCCAAACCAAGAAGCAAGTGAAGATCACAAATGTAGTTCAAACGAAACTTTTTATTGATTTCTCCGAGCAAACCTGTAAAAAAATATCTCATGTGAGTGAAGATGATTTACCTAGCCTAAAGTGTTCCACTCAAATCTATCAAAATGAAGATGATTTAATGTTTAAGAGCAAACCTTTAAAATAACTCAAATATCAAAACCAAACAACAAAAAGATGATCTGGAAAACCTTAAATATATCATGGTGAAGAAAAATTATACCGCTATTGTTCTATGATCGCGGTGAAGATACTTAATTCAAAAAGAGAACTCACAACTCAAAAGTCCAACAACAATGTATCATTTGCACACAAAATATCTCTTTGAATGAAGACTTGTGTAGTTTGTACAGTTCTCAATTTTGCAGATTACTTGGCATAAGTCCAACGAACGACAATATTGTCATCAAGACCAAACTTCCTGAGAGAAATAAACATATATATAAATAAAAATATAATTACACATCTAGAATTGAATCACAAAAGTTAAGCGAAAAAATAAATAGGGAAATAGAGGCATACATTCCCAAAGGGCCGCAAGCGTCGCAATCTTATTCTCATTATCCTTTCTGGCCTTAAGTACTTTCCTTTTGAAGATCTATGGAAGCTTTGGAATATGCCAAAGGAAGAGAAGAAAATAATAATAAAAATCAATAGTATAAGTACTATAGTAAATCATAGAAAAATAAGTGACTATCTTCATGCTTTAAAAACACAATTCTTGAAATTGAATATGCAGCAGATGCCCTATATTTGTAAGCATTTTAAAGGTTGACAAAATTTATATTGAATATTTGTAAGCACCAGATCTCAGATTGTAAAGCCCCAATCTCCAAAGCATTGCATTACATGGGAGAAAAGCCTTAATTTGTAATGGAATGTTAACGTGTATGTGTATATATACATATATTAAATATAAATTACTAAGAGTAAAAGTGAATTTTATATATTCATCAGGCTAGCTAAATACCTTGACACTGACAATGACAATTGTTGCACCTATCCTGACTCTTGCCAAACCTTGGCTTTCAAAAAGAGTCATTCAATTATGAAATCATTTGTTGAAACCATGTGTTGTACTTTCTATGGCATTTTCAACCTTGTATCTTTAAGACCATAGCAAAAAAGGTACTGTTATTAATTATCGGGTAGCAGTATAAAATATCATCATCACATCCACTATTCGACAACTAAAACATAGCAATCCATAAGCAAAGGGGGAAAGAGTAGCAAATTCGCAGCATATTGATCATGCTAAAGAAAAACAAATATGTTGGTAGTAAAAAAAAGTGTCAATGCCAAAGCTATCAGCTCAAAGGCATTCCTAGAAAGCAGGATTGTTAAAGAAAGGTGTCTGAACTTAGGGTTTGCTCGGAGGGATCAATACAGAATGGACTTAAGACATACTTTTCTGATCACTCTCTGCATCCTCTATGTGTTGGAACAAACGATATACGATACTATTATTTGTTTGGAAAAGTAAATGAACAACAAATTTGAAACATTTATCAATTATGGATCCCGTATATAGGATACCAAAGTAATCTCAAACATAAAAAAAATGTGAATTGATGATTATATTCTTTGTCCCAATTGCAAACCCAATCTAGAAAAAGTTCAGGTTGTTGATCAATCCTTTTATGATATTCAGACCTGTCTATCATATTGACATCTTCACAAAGAAAACCCCTGATGCTTAGCATCAAGCCATCAACGTTAACAGCTCCAATGTGTATCCATCAACATGAAAATCTCTGCAGAATAGGTGAAATCATCAGCATACTCAACAATAGGATTGCAAGTATACCTCATACTATTTTTTAAGAAGCCAATTTTTAGTGATTTCATTCTCAAAAACTCAAAATAAAGTAAAAAATAAATAAAGTTTACATGGAAAGAACTCTAACATTAAAGAGATGAAAACTTCCACATAGTGAAACAAAGTGGTTTCCTCATGATAATCTAATTGATCAGTATGTACTTTTTCAATGAGCCTGCTCCATCCCCAATTTCAATGAATTTAAAAGTAAATTGAATAATCCAACTTTTAATAAACAATTATCTATTTTCACTCAGAAATATGAGAAAGGCAGTGAAATAACATATATAAGGATACATGAAAAAAGTTGGTTCAAAGCATTGAATAAAGAAGGGGAAAGATTACTGGCTTAATAGAGCTTCCTTAGATTTTCAGACTTCAATGCAAGACTAATCTACTCTTCTGATGCACCTAACTTTCGATTAGGTCTGAGACAGAGACCAACGTCTTCTCCATGTGGGGTTCAAGACTGATATGCACGGTGAGAGAATGAGATGCATGGATTAGACTCTTTCAATTCTTGTTCAAATTCAGTTAAGAGGGCGAGTATATAGAGAGCGAGAGAATAAGCCGACTTGGTAAATATTTCTTACCTGTAGAAGTTGAGATGCTCATTCTTCTGTAATATCATTGAATATGTGCCCCTATGTTGCATCATCCTCTATAGATGTTGTTTGAATGTAATTGTCGGCTATGTTAGGGTCACCATCCTTGGCAATGTTACTCCATCTCTCTGCATTGACTCCCTTCCGGCGCTAGGAGGCTCAGCCAGCGCGCCTATGGGGAAGAAAAAAACTCCCTGGACTTTGACAGGAAGAAGGAACACGCTGTGAGCGTGCGTGAGATCCTGGGAGGTTGGGGTGTATAATTGTATAACTGTTCCGGCACAATTTTTCCTGCTACTTTTGTAAATATAAGGATTATTCAACAAAACACTACAGCACAGCACAGATACACAAATCCTAGGGTAAAGAGTGACATTTTAATCCTCACCATTGAAGATTTTGATGCTCTTATGCACGTCCATATGAAAGATGGAAGAAGTTGACTCCTCTTTCCCACTTTCATCACTCCTATCTGACTTATCATGGGTGAAAAAGGCTAGAGCGTGGAGTGTCGACCGATAGTCCAGAGTGCCCCTCCATCAAACGTCTTATCTTATGAAGAGCAATTATTCTTTTCCGTGCAACACGATTTTTCATAATAGTCAAATTTAAGAACTGGTTAATGATAAGAAACATTCGGAAATGAAACAATTAGAGAAAAGTTGCTAATACATGTGTAATACATACATACATATATATATATATATATATATATATATATATATATAGAAGATCATTATATAACTTTAATAAATGGCCTCTTGATTCTCTACATATAAGATTTATTAAATACATGGTATATAAAAGAATAGCAAATAATGAGTAGTGGCATACTCATGAGGGTGGTAGGGTCCCTTGGGGTGTATTGAAAACCCATAGGAGTGCCATAGTAACATCAGAAATTGGAGTTCCGTTCACAGGACTCATAGAGACCTTTCATCGAACATATGGTGACTCTTCTTTGGCTCTGTAAATTTGCAAACTGAAAAGGGACGTGTCGTGCCTGGGACCTTGAAGAACTCTTACAGAAGGCAACAACACAACTAAAAAGAAGCATATAATGCAGAAAAGGCACTGCAAACGGCCTGGAAATATGTGCGAATTGAAGAAGTTTTGTAATGTTGGGGTGGAAATTTCTCTCCCAAGTCCCAACTCTACAAATTAAGTCATGAAATTTTAAAGGATACCTGGGAAGATGATCAAAAGCACAAATCGACCCTGCATTGCCATCACTTGAAACCATGACTATTCGACCTACCACCCATATGTCGCCATGGACGCCTGCCTCCATAAATAAAAAACTTAAAATACTACTATAAATATAAAGAAGTTAAAATAGAAATAAGAAAACGGTGCTTCCCTCTTCTTGAATCAGTGGATCCAACCACTTCTTCTCCTTCTCTGATTGGTCTATTCCTCTGTAAAATGGCGGTAAATAGAGCCACAGGCTACTACCAACAAATTAAAAGACTTCTAGCCTTCAATCGCATCGGAATTATGAGTCATGGGAGTTGAAGATGTAAAAGGAAGACGGTGCTGAAGAAGTGGTTGGGCAATGTTCTACGGTTAGCATGTGTGATTTGATGGGGTAGGTTACGGGCTTATGGCTGACTTCACACATAAAATTTTAGGCGGCAAGTTTTCCTGAAAATTAAAAAAAAAGTTTGCAAGAAAATATGAATCCCTCACATCCTCTTTTTTATTTCGAGCATTTCTACCTTCAAGCTTCATTAAGTAAATATGAACACATATTTAAACAAAATGGTTTGGTGTGATATTGGAAGCATTGACGGTGAAAGTTCAGAAGAATGAAAGAAAAGCCAGTAGCCTAAGGGATGTAGAGTAGTGTCCTAAAACCTGAAGTGCTTGTGATTCTAGCTTCATCAATCCAGTACCAGTAGCTTTAGCAAACTAAAATCATACACATACATAATATCTTGTGGCAATACTGGACAGAAAAAAGAAATGATGATAAAAACTCAATGGAATCCCTATTTTCTTATCATGATTTATAAAAAATTATAAATCAGGATTTTAACCTTAATTTACTATTTGTGATTGGACAATACAGAGAAGATTAGCATGCCCTGCGCAAATATGACACACTTGAGAAATGGCTCAGTTTATTTTTTCGGATTTTTCCATGCATTTTAGTTTCCAACCTGCAGATTTTGGATATTTAATTCCATTTATTAATATGCTAATTTAAAAAAAACAATAGTCTTTAAGATAAAAAATCAAGAAAAACCTAACACACCAAAAATGGATTGATTAGTGTATACTTCAAGAAAATGAATCTAAACAAACCTTAAACTTATTTTGAGATGAAACTACAAAATTGATGAAATTAACATAAAATTATGAAAAAATATATGAAGAAATTGATGAAATTAGGGGTAGAGATGGATTGAAAGCTTAATTATGAAAAAATATATGGAGAACTTGATGAAATTCAGATGTACCCGCTAGGTCAAAGTCGAGGAAGACGATGAACAGTACTTTTGCAACGAAAGCCTCCACCTTCTCCTTCTTTCTCAAGCTGCAATGTTCCGTCTCTTCTTCTCTGTTACATTCCGATCTAGAGAACTCCACATATGCTGAAGTACCGCATCTGATAATTTCACGTAGGATGTGCTTTAGTGGGTGGTTGAGACTTGAGACTGCGGTTTTTAATCCCAGATTTTAGTCAAACCGATGTCGTATTGCTCATCCCACAACTGAGCGGGAAATTTTTCCTGCTGCTCTTGTAAATAGAAGGATTCATGTAGAGAAGAGAAATTATATGATTCACACAGTGTTTTCATTAGACTGAGAGTGGAATTTTACTTTGGGACATGCAAAATATGTGACCTTTTTATGGGACAGTGGAAGTATTAAGGTTGCATTTCTTTACATGCATAAAGCCACATATTTAGCCTGTGATAGGAATTAGATTGTACTATAATTCTAACTGAGGTATCTGTATAGGTGTCATACAAGTGGCTGAGTAAGAATTTCTTGCTTTCTTCAGATGCTGCAAAGAGGTTAGGGTATCTGTGATATATAGTTGTGGAAGGCAGATGATGAATTTGGTTTCTTCTCCTTTTACCCACCATAAGTAATTGTGTTGTGCTTTATAGGTTGCTTCAGAAGTTTGTTGAGAAGCATGGAAATGATGTAGAAGTTGTTTATAGCTTGTCTGGCTGGTTGAAGAATAATCCTTCAGCCCATCACGTGGAGCTTGTTTCAAGTCCTAAACTTGCAGGTTTGAAATTATTTTTTTCTGGCTGTAATTTAGCTTGCCTTTTACTCATTTTTCACATGTTACAAAAAAAAACTATAAATTGATTAAGATAAACGAAAGAAACCATCACTTGGTCATGTGATCAATAGTTTGTTTTCATTTATTGTGATTTTTAAATCTTTTTCTGCTCCATAGTTTTTAAGTTGTTATGGAGTTTATCCAATGGAAACTTATTCTCATGCAGAAGTCAAACAAGAATTATATGAAAATTGCTCGGTTCAGGTCTATAGCGTGCAAGCTTGCATTCCAAAGGATGCAGCAACCCTATGGAATGCTGAATTTGTCCAATCTCAGGAGCTGTTCACGCAGCCTCTCTCAGTTAATAATGGTTTTTGGGATAACCGGTAACATTTAGCTTCCACACTGCATCTTGCAGTCTTGCTGAATTTTAATTATTTCTAATCAATCAATTTAGACAAATATTCTTCATTGAAATGCAAATATCATTATTTTTTGTTTGTATCTAGACTTGTTCATGTTTTTATAAATTGCTAGTGATGTCTGATTAGTGCGGCCTAGGAATCTGAGGCGTCGTATCTTTATACAGAGTACTTTTCAAAAGATATTTTGGAATCATTTGTTATTGTATATTATGTGTAGTATACCTATAAAAATACTCAAAAATGGACTGTTTACCAATAAAGTGCTGGTTAAAGGCATCAAGCGGGTGCATAGGGCACCTAGTCGGTCCACATGCCCAAAGAAGGCTGAATTTTTAGTTTTCACTTCAACCTTTTGAACCTTGGGCTGTTTTTTGTTCCACTGGTATTTTACTTGTATCCTTAGCTTTCAATCACAAAACTTGTCAACATATCATTGTACTTAGCTTCTTACTAGCTTTATGCTAATTACCTTTTCAGGTTTTCTAGAGTTTTGAATTCGTGCGTTAAAAGGAATGTTGACGGATCATCTGTCAGCACTGATGTTTCTCAGGAAAAAACTTCAGGTGCACCAGTGACATCTAAAAGCAAACTCACTAGCCAAAGTGTAACAATGATAACGCCTTCATCAAGAACGGTTCAACAGGCAGAGCCAAGGGCCAATGTGCATTCTCCATCTATTGATAATGATGTCAAGAAAGATATTTCTGTGCCGGAAGGTACTAAAATTGAGATGGATAAAGAGAAGGCCGCCCAACCTCATGAAAATAAGAAAAAGACTCGGACTGACAAAACCTCTGCTGGGAATGGAGGTGCATTAGCTAATCTGTGGGGGCGTGCAACCTCAATGTCAAAGGCGGATCGCATCTCAAAAGAGACTGACATTGCCATACCCAATCCAGCAGGTTTTTCCCTTCCAAATTTTAGCTCTTGTGAGCTTAAATGGTCCACTTGCAACCTGGACATTTGTAGGGAAAGGAAACAATGCTATTGAACATTATTTCCCCATGGGCTTTGCCTTGGCAACTGCAAATAACAATGAATTGCTCCCTCCGCCCTAAAAATATATTCACATTTTCCTTTTTAGTTTGTATCAAAGTAAACTTCACACTTCCCCTTCGCTTTTTAGGGAAAGAGTATGAGGTTCACAACACTTCTCTTTCCTCTCAACGAATTCTAAGCACACTTTTAACTTCTTAACACTTCCCGTAAACTCCGTGAACTCAAAGAGGGAAATTGTTTTTGGGTCAGAGGGAGTATGTGTTTTTTCTTATATATTTTTAGATTTTTAGTTTTTATATTATTATATAAATAAATCAAACTCCGCCAAAATGTAAATTTGTTCCAGACATAACCAAAATGTGTATTTGTTGATTAATTTGATTTTACAATTGTTCATGTTCATCACTGACTTCTTTATTTCCAATTGCACATGCTTTTGTTTTTTGCAATGCAGAAGCTCAAGTATGTGCTCGTGAAGAGTTAGAAGATGGAAATTACTTGGATGATGGAGAAGATGTCAACATTAAGAGTTCTAACGGTAGAGGAAACCGGAAAAGAAGAGTTATTTTGTATTCCTCTGATGAAGAAGAGGAAGAAGATGCAGTCAACTTATCATCACCTGATCCTCCAAAGACCAAAACATCTACAGTATTGAAACCATGTTCAAACATTCCGGGTTTAGAGAAGACATTACATTTTGAGAAAAATGAGAAAAGTGATGAGAAATTGATGGGAGAATTTGTAGCCACAGAATATAAGAATCATATTGCTGTGCCCGAGATCTCAGGCCACAATCCTAGTAATGATGAAATCACTAGTGCAAAAATTAGTGATCCTACTCCAAAACCACCTCAAAGGAAGAAAGTATTGAAGAAGAGAATTGATGAGCGAGGAAGAGAAGGTATCCCAGTTTCTAATGTCAAGTATCAACATGACTATTTGTGAATTTACTATGTGATTTTTTTATCTTTGAGCACCCAGGTTTGTTTTGGGACGAAAAATGGCCCTCCCTTCCTTCCCATATAATTTGGGACAAGGGGTTTGAAATGTGAAAATGTGTAGTTGGTATTGAATTTGTAAAGAATGAGTTAATTTGAGCCACATAATTCAAACCAAATATGGTATGTGGAACCTTTTTAGAATAGAGCAAAATGAAAAAATTGACAAAAATAGGGGCTTAGATAGAACAATATGTTTCAAACATTGTTTTGTCTACAGAACAAGAACTTGGCTTGATCATACAAAGTTTGTTTTATACATTGTTTTACCTCTCAGCAGCCTCAATAGCTAAAACATCGTATTACTTCGTTTAAATGAGTTTTAAACGTTCAAATATGATTAATAACTTAGAGTAGCTATACCTTACTAAAATATATTCTACACCTTGATAAATACTCCCTCAATCTAGAGTCCGGAATTAGTTATCCACTTTCTTAAAAGTATGATTTTAAGAAAGAGGGAGTGTGATTCTTCTAATGATATAGGACCACATTTTTTTTATAACTAAAGGATAATTATGGGACGGTCTCACAAGATAACAAGTCATCTATGGGAGAAAGATTGTCTTTTGCTGTTTTGCAGTTTAAGAACTCCCTCTTTTGGTAAGCCAATCATTCCAGGGGTGTGAAGCTAGGACTAGAGGAAATTTAATTTCTTTATTTTGTGGGATACTTCACAATGTTTCCTATACTCCCTTCTCAGATTCATCTGTTTTGTACTTCCAGTTACTGAGGTTGTTTGGGAAGACGAGGAGACAAAACCCGATTCCGGTCTGACAAAGAAAGCTGAAAACAAAGTAGCTATTGAGGCTGCAGAGAGGTAAATATCTTCAACTTATTATCTTATTTTCTTGCTTCAAAACTGTCCAGAAAAATTACTCCGTGTTGCTAATTTCATTGTTAAAAACAAATACCTTGTAAGTAAATTAAGATGGAGAGATGAAACATTAGTTATTTAAGCCCTTTATCATCTTGTATTTGTAGTCGCTCTCTTTTCTCCTTACTAGAACTGGCTTTGAACTTTTCTGAAAGTGCGTGTTTGAGAAATTAGATCTAATGAGTTCCTCAAAACAGTGGTAAATACAACCCATCTTTTGTGGATGCAAAGGGCAATCAGGATCAATGTTTTAGAAAATCATGCAAGATTTTCATATGGTAACTATGCCCATTAGTATCATTATAATTTATAAAAGAACTTAGTGTTTCACTTCTTTTAATTGCATGAAGTTATTTAGGCTTTTGCCTCAGACCCTGCCTCTGAACCGGCATATAGAGACAACAAGATCAAGGAAGTAATCTGATCCCTTTGTGCATGTGTCACGTTACAAAACTTTTCAAATGCCCTCATTTATTGCAAGTAGTATCATACGTCTACTACAATTAATACGCATTCTTGAAATTATTTTGAATTACTTTAATTAAGTTGGAGATGAAAGGTGAAATTGGAAAATTTTTATTGAATGGTCTTGTGATTTTATAAAGCGTAGACTGAAAAAAATGGCAAATAAACACTAGATTTCATTTTTCTTTATATTGCATGACAATATAGTGATAATTTTTTTAGGCAGTTGATTAACACTAAATTTTGTGCCACCAATCCCAAACCAGCTGGGATTAAGTTGTCGATGCAGAATGGTTGTTTAGCCCCAGCTCAATGTCCTTTTTTTCTTTATTCACAAGTATAATACTAACACTTATACATGATTCAAAAGAGTACACCAAGTTTGGAACTCCTAGTGTGTCATAGCCAATGACTAACAAGGGACTAACAATGACTGATTTTCTCTGATGGTGTCATCCTTGGTGTATCCCTGAAGTTATAGTAATGCACCCCGTATGATTTTTTGATGTACTGTTATTTCAGACCACCCCCCGCTAAGAAGCCACACGTGATGGGAAACAGTGCTCCATCGGCCCAGGCTGCCAAAGCAGGAAACAAGAAGGCCGCTAACAAAGACCCCAAACAAGGAAAAATTTCCTCGTTCTTCAAAAAAGCTTCTTAAATGCAATGCGCATCCTTTCTTGCTCAGATCTAAAGGTACGTTCTTGGTCAGATTACTCTTCTTGTTGTAAAAGCGTATTGATTGTTGTTTTCTGTAGTAAAAAGCAAACGACCTTATTCGGTTTGAGCTTTGAACCAAACGTAGTTATGTTCTTCGTAATGTGTTCATGCCACTGTTTTGTTGTCTTTGTGATGTTTTATCCTTTTGGCGTTTACGGAAACTCGCTTTTAAACTTATTCTTTGTGTCCCAAAATGAAGTTTATCATTTAATTTCACAAAGTTTTGAAATTGTGCTAAAAAGAAAAAAACGTGATCCATACTTTATTATCTTAGAAAGAGAGGTTAGAGAGCAATACTAGAGTGCCTATGCCCCACATTCTGTTGTACGGTGTCAGTGTTTTCGTACATTCATGCAAATACTCAATTTCGAGCAACAAAATGCTCATTTCGCATATCTATTTATTTTATTATTTATTCAAAGCATGTAAAGTACGGAGTATATGTTTATTTGAAAACTATATAATGATTATTACATTTATATAGAATGTACATTTACGAGTAATATAATACTCATTTTAATGAGAATAAAGATGAATATACAACTAAAATTTAGTAAAAGAAAATATGCAGAATGAGTATTTAACTACTCGTGAATGGGTATTCTCTGTGCATATATAAGAAAAATGGTTCATATATAAGAAAAATTGCACTCTTATACTTAATTCAAAAGCGTAAAAATATGTGAATTTTTTTTCAATAAAATGTTAACATTATTTTGAGTCGCCCTAAAATAGAAAGTGTAGCTTGTACGTTTCATTTTGGGAAGGCCGAATATGTTTTGAAATTTTTTAATGTAGTTTTTATATATAGAGTTTATAAATTTTATTTTTAAATTTACACATACAATTAAATAAATTAAATTAAAAACAATAAAAATTTTCTCATAACAAAATAAGTCTCCCCCTTCCCACCTTATTCCCTCTCCCTTCAGTCGATTGGCTACTGTGATCACTGCAGCTAATCAGCAAATGAAAGGAGCGACCACAAGGGACACGAATCATCAATTTTTTGAATGAAATATTTTAGACATTGATCTTCAATGTCAAAACAGCCACTTCTTATTTTAAAAAAGCAAAGAATGAAAAGAATAATCTTACTCAAAGAATCTTTTATTCATCTATGATACTTCTCCCGTCTTAAAAATTAGTCTCATTTTCACTTGATTAAGTTGATTTTTTTAATTATTTGTTAAAATAATATACTCCTAGTTATTCCTTGAAAAGTACTTCCTCCGTCCCAATTTATAGTGCATGTTCACTATTCACAGGGTCAAATTTCATTCACTTTCTTTCTTTATTTTCGTTAGCAATTTGATAAAATAAAGTATTTATTGTTACTACTAGTTTTGTAGATCGTTTAATGCAATATTTTAATATTTAATTTTTATTTTTAACTCTATACCATTTATCATATAAAATGATTTTAAAAATAATTTTAGTCAAATATCGTAAACCGAAACAGACACTAAATTGGGACAGTGGAAGTACTTCTAATTAAAAAAGATGGGTGACGCACTATGGCAACTTTGAAGGTAAGTGCAGGAGGTGGGGATGGTTGTGTTAAATAAGGGTGTAAACGGATATTAATCGGATTGGATGTGCCATTACCAGATCCGTAACCGTTTATTTTCATTGGATATCAAATTCGGATACGGATCTTGACGGATACTAAAAATCAGAATCGTAACTGCATCCGCCTAATATCGGTTGGATATCGGATATATGTGTATCGGTTTCCAATTTTTTAAGTTAAATTGAAAAATACTTTAATTTCCACTTAAGTTAAATTAAAAATATTATTTATTCAATTTTAATTTGTCACGGAGTAATTTTTCTTATTTTTATAATTTATAATATTTTACGACAATTCTATATGGTAAAAAAATATTCACAATACACACACATTTTTATGTGTCTTCACATATATTTTGCATATAAAAATGTCTTATACTTTGAGATGTCAATAGAAAAATGAAATATGATAATAAAAAATTAGGAAAAATTATATATAACGGATCAGATACATGGATAAACAGCTACTTAAATGGATGTCTATGTAAAGCGGATTATAAATGAATCAGATGTATGATTTCCAACTCCGCATCCGTTTACCGATCAGATTTTCTTAATCGGATACAAATAATAACGGCTTTTAACGAATGCGGATATTTTCCGTATAAACGGATACGGATGGGGACGGTAATTGAATTTTCGATTATCCATTTACAGCCCTAGTGGTAAAGAATAAAAAAGAAAGATTTTTTCGTCATTTACTTCTGGATTTTTTAAAAAATTACATGATTTCCTCGTAAATTTTAAAATTTAGACTAATGTCTTTTGAACTTTTACAAATATTGCACCAATGGTCTTTCTACATTATATTTGGGAGTGTGTTAATCACACGTTCATCTAGTGCAAGTATGAATTTATCTAAAATCATATATATATATACACATTAGTTTTGCAATATATCCTTCCAAAATTTTATCTTCTAGAAGTATAATTTTAACATCTTTAAAATCTAGATAATTATATTTGATTTAGTCGTTGGTAACAGAGTTCGAAGGTTGGACATCGATTAATCTCTTCATACATCAATGATGTTTTTTAAAGTTTAAAGGGGGGTAAATTTCACAAATGGTACCTGAACTTTAGCTGGAATTTCGAAGTGGTACCTGAACTTCAAATCCTTTCACAAAAATTCCTGAACTTACACAATCCTTTCACTAATGAGCCATTAGCCTGTTTCTAGGTTAACTTCCGGTCATTAGGGCCAAATTCGAATTTTATATATTTTAAAATTTTCAATTTGACCCCATTTCTTCTTTTCTTTTCTTCCACGTCCCGCCGCCGCCGCCCGCTGGTCAAAGTCGCCGGAAAATGAACTTTTTCCGATTCTGGCGGGACCAATGTCATTCTCTTCGTCTTGAGACGAGGATCAATAATATCCAAACCATTTTGTCTAATTTGGCCTGTAACTTCTCGAATCTGAATTTTTCTACTCGAAAAAACCCTAAAATTCGAAATTGGATCCAAAATTGGGGGTTTTGCAAATCTTCATCAAATCTTGCAATTGAGGNGCAAAACCCCCAATTTTGGATCCAATTTCGAATTTTAGGGTTTTTTCGAGTAGAAAAATTCAGATTCGAGAAGTTACAGGCCAAATTAGACAAAATGGTTTGGATATTATTGATCCTCGTCTCAAGACGAAGAGAATGACATTGGTCCCGCCGGAATCGGAAAAAGTTCATTTTCCGGCGACTTTGACCGGCGGGCGGCGGCGGCGGGGCGTGGAAGAAAAGAAAAGAAGAAATGGGGTCAAATTGAAAATTTTAAAATATATAAAATTCGAATTTGGCCCTAATGACCGGAAGTTAACCTAGAAACGGGCTAATGGCTCATTAGTGAAAGGATTGTGTAAGTTCAGGGATTTTTGTGAAAGGATTTGAAGTTCAGGTACTACTTCGAAATTCCAGCTAAAGTTCAGGTACCATTTGTGAAATTTACCCGTTTAAAGGGGGACCCGCGCAATCTTTCAAATTCGAGGTACACGACATTAGAAAGAAGAAGAAAACAAGAAAATGCCGCAGGGAGGTGAAAATTTAGTTGTTATTTTTTAAATTCTTTGAATATTTACAAATCTACAAATTTATCATTTGAATATTTTAGTTGTTATTTTTTAAATTCTTTGAGACCATTATTTGAATCTATTACTTTACATATTTAGTAAATCTATGAATTTTGTTAATATTTTGTTTGTGACTCTCTAGCATTTAATAGCTATAGCTAGAAAAGATTTATTTTCTATTCATTTGCTTTCTTCTAACTTGGTTCAAAAGGATTTTTTTTTTGAATAATAAATGGATATAGTAGTCTAAAAGCTTTTGTACTATGTAAAAATATTCGAATTAATCCATAGAAGTAACTGATGGCATTTAGTGAGTTTTGAAGACATGATAATTAAGATATGAATTTTGATATGGAAAATGATACTCATGCGTTTTCTAACGTTGAATTGAAGTTGTTTAATGGTATGTTTGGAAACATGGATTTGGATTTCAAATCCGGATTTGGCTTAAATTTCATGTTTGGGAAACTTAAGCATTTTGAATTTGGATTTGAATCAAATTCTTTACATGCAAAACAAAGCTTAATTTGAAATCCATGCACATCCCCTTGTCATTTGAAATTCAGGATTTCAAATTTTGGAATTGAAATGCATGAATTGAAATAAAATGCTAGAGTCCAAACACTACCTAAAGAAATTTAAAATCATGATTTAATTAATGATGAACGGGAATGATCGACAATGATGGTAGTTGGCAGTAAGTAACAATGGTAGCCAGTGGCGGAGAATGGTCAACAGTTCGAAGAGATGATATCAAAACCAACATATATATATCTCTCAAATTCAAGAGATATCGAAACTCTCTGTTAGAAAGACTTATGATATCTGAAAATATCAAACTCGATATCTTTTTGACTTCACGAACCAATAACCATAAAAAATTTTGATATCTGGACATATCAAAACTCATGCTTCGTATCTCTCTTGCTCACCAAATACATTTTTAGTCTTTGTACCGTTTATGTGTTCAATCAAGTCCTTTTTGCTTTTTTCCTTCGTATATTGCATCGAACTTTCTCTGATGATATCTAATTTTAGTATAAATGACATAAAAATATATTCTTGGCATGTTAATGCAACTTAGGTTTTAAAGACTTTTATTTACTAAGGGCAATATGCATTTATTTATTTATTTTCTTTAATGAAAAAATATAAGGATAAATTGTCTATACTAATCACAAAATCAAACTTCATTCACTTTCTTTTTCTATTTTTGTTAGTAATTTGATAAAATAATATAATCATGTCGCCACTAATTTTGTAGAACTTTTGATGTAATTTTTGAGTATGTAATCTTATTTTTTATTTATACATCATTTTTCATATAAAATGATTTGAAAATCACTTCAGTCAAACATCGTAAACTGAAACAGGCAATTTAAAATGAGACAAATGGAGTATAAATTAGCAAGCCAAGACAACATTACTTTGCCATATCATGTATTAAGTGTAAAATTGTACATCATCATAAGAATTCAGGGTAATACTATGTATATAAATAAAAAAGCCCAGAATGACTTGTTTGAACAAAAAAAGATACTCTCTCCATCCCACTTGAATTTTTACATATACTAGTCACATAAT